TAATTTTAGAAAACCAACTCCCAATAAATAAATAAATAAATAAATAAATAAATTAATTAATTAATAAACAAATTAATTTTAGAAAACCAACTCCCAATAAATAAATAAATAAATAAATAAATAAATTAATTAATTAATAAACAAATTAATTTTAGAAAACCAACTCCCAATAAATAAATAAATAAATAAATAAATAAAACGGGGGGAAACCTCCTTTAAGTAAATAAACGAATAAATAAATACATTTTTAAAAGAAAAGGGGGAAAAAAAATCCCTTTAAATAAACAAATAAATAAATTAAAAAAAGGGGGGAAAAAAAACCCTTTAAATAAATAAATAAATAAATAATAAATAAATAAATAAGGCGGAAAACCCCCTTTAAAAAAATAAATAATTAAATACATTTTAAAAAAATGTATTTAATTACATTTTAATTAAATTGTATTTAATTGGGGGGAACTTTAAATAAATAAATAAATAAATAAATTTTAAAGTAAAGGAGGGGAACCCCTTTAAATAAATAAATAAATAAATAAATAAATAAATAAATAATTTTTTTAAAAAAGGGGGGGAAAAACCCCTCCTTTAAATAAATTAAAAAATTAATTAATTAATTTAACAAAAAAAAAAAAAAGGGCAGGAAAAAAAATACCCCCCAACCCTCCGGATTTTTTTTTCCCCGAAATATCCTCCCCTCTCCCCCCCCCAAAAAAAAAGGGCGTCGAGGCCTCGCCGAGGGTGGGGGAGGACGAACAACAACAACTCTTAAAAAAATATCTCTTGAAACCACGTCCGGTCTCTCTTTTTTTGTTTTTTTTGTTTTTTGTGTGTGTGTGGTTTTTGTTTTTTTTTTTCCCGTTTTAAAAAATAGACGATAATAATAAAGCGGAGCTTTTAAAACCCAAGAGGCCGCCGGGCCCGGCGTCGTCGGGACGGTGCCGCCATTTCGGCGTCGTTGGGACGGTGCCGCCATTTTGGCGTCACTAGGACGGCGCCGCCATTTCGACGTCGTCGGGACGGCGCCGCCATTTCGACGTCGTTGGGACGACGCCACCATTTCGACGTCATTAGGATGGTGCCGCCATTTTGACGTCATTGGGACGGCGCCGCCATTTCGGCGTCATTGGGACGGCGCCGCCGTTTTGGTGTCGTCGGGACGGTGCCGCCATTTCGACGTCATTAGGACAGTGCCGCCATTTCGACGTCGTCAGGACGGTGCCGCCATTTCGACATCGTTAGGACGGTGCCGCCATTTTGACATCCTTAGGACGGCGCCGCCATTTTGATGTCATTGGGACGGCGCCGCCATTTCGACGTCGTCAAGACGGTGCCACCATTTTGACGTCGTCAGGACGGTGCCGCCATTTTGGCGTCGTTGCCGCCATTTCGACGTCGTTGGGACGGTGCCGCCATTTTGACATCGTTGGAACGGCGCCGCCATTTTGACGTCGTTGGGACGGTGCCGCCATTTTGACGTCGTTGGGACGGCGCCACCATTTCGGCATCTTTAGGATGGTGCCGCCATTTTGACGTCATTGGGACGGCGCCGCCATTTCGGCGTCGTTAGGACGGCACCGCCGTGTCCGGCATCGTTAGGACGGCACCGCCATTTCGGCGTCGTTAGGACGGCACCGCCGTGTCCGGCATCGTTAGGACGGCACCGCCATTTCGGCGTCGTTAGGACGGCACCGCCGTGTCCGGCATCGTTAGGACGGCACCGCCATTTCGGCGTCGTTAGGACGCCGCGGTTTCGGCGTCGTTAGGACGGCGCCGCCATGTCGGCGTCGGCGTCGCTGCCCTGGGGAGGCAGAGGAGGAGTCACTTTGTCCCAGCCCAACTCCACCACGGTTTTCCCTCTGCCCCCGGCGAACTCCTGGCAGGAGCTCTCCCTCCTCTCGCCCAGCTTGGACGCCGAGCGGGCGACGGAGCCGCCGTTGGTCTGGGAGCACACGTGGGTCACCTTGGCCGCCTTTTTGTGGTGGGCCGGGTGGTGGTTGTTGTACACCTTGTACTTCATGAGGAGGATGAAGATGAAGACGAGCACCGAGGCCACGATGATGCCGCCGATGACGATGATCATGGTGCCGCCCAGGAACTGGGCGTGCAGGGAGCGGCAGCGCGGCGGCTCCTCGCGCGTGGCGAAGCGGGCGCAGCCCAGGGAGCGCGTGGCCGGCAGGGCCGTGGCGCCGTCCGAGTAGACGGCCAGGACGCAGAGCTCGTAGGAGCGGCCCGGCGCCAGGTCGGTGAGCAGGAAGGATTTGCTGGTGGGGGGGATCATCCTGGAGAAAAAAAGGGGGGGAAAAAGGAGGTCAAGGAGGATCTTCTGGCTCGTGGGAGAGCGGGGCGGGGCCATGGGATGTGAGGGGATGGAGGGAGGGTCTTGGGATGGGTCTTAGAAGGATCTTGGGATGGGTCTTGGGATGGGTCTTAGAAGGGTTTTGGGTCTTGGGATGGGTCTTGGAAAGGGCCTAGGATGGTTTCTGGGAAGGGTCTTGGATCTTAGGATAGGTCTTAGAAGGGTCTTAGAAGGGTCTTGGGATGGGTCTTGGGATTGATCTTATGATGGGTCTTAGGAGGGTCTTGGGATGTGTCTTAGAAGGGTCTTGGGAAGGGTCTTGGGAAGGGTCTTAGAAGGGTCTTGGGAAGGGTCTTAAGAAGGCTCTTGGGATGCGTCTTAGAAGCGCCTTGGGACGGATCTTAGGATAGGTCTTAGAAGGGTCTTGGATCTTGGGATGGGTCTTGGGGTTGATCTTAGGATGGGTCTACGAAGGGTCTTGGGATGTGTCTTAGAAAGGTCTTGGGAAGAGCCTAGGATGGGTCTTAGAAGGCTCTTGGGTCTTGGGACGGGTCTTAGAAGGCTCTTGGGTCTTGGGACAGGTCTTAGAAGGGTCTTGGACAAGGTTTTAGGACCGACCCCTTCTCCACCCCCCCCCACGACACCCCCATCCCTTTCCCCACCTGTAGACGGGGATGTCGTCGGTGGACGAGTTGTACTGGATCTGGTACATCCTGACGCCGGGCAGGGGCTGCCGCGGCTCCCACCGGATCAGCGCCGACGCCGCCGTCAGCTCCTCCACCACCACGCCCTTCTCCTGCCTCTCCTTGCTCTCGTTGGCGAAGCTCGACTTGGCCGGGATGAGGATGTCGGAGGCCCCCGGTTCCTCCCCTTCCTCCCCCTCCTCCTTCTCGCAGCCGGTGCCGTTGCCCGCCTCGGCCGCCGGCGTCACCAGCAGCTCCACGGGCGCCGTGGACTCCCCGGCGGCGTTGGAGGCGATGCAGGTGAAGGTCCCTCTGTCGGCCAGGGAGGCCGCCGCGATGTCCAGGGTGCCGTTCTCGTAGGACGTGGTGCGGCTGGTGTTGGACACCAGCTTGCCGTCGGGCGCGATCCAGCGCACGTAGGGCTCGGGGTCGCCCACGGCCTTGCACTTGAGCGACGCGCCCCGGCCCTCGGCGGCCGCCAGGCGCGGCGTGCGGTGGGTGATCATGGGCGGCTCGCACACGAACTCCTCCTCCTTGATGGACCAGAAGTACTTGCCGGCCAGCTCGGGCGGCGACGCGCACGTCTCCAGGTCGTCCTCGCGCGTCAGGCGCCGCAGCCACACCAGCTCGCAGTTGCAGTGCAGGGGGTTGCCCCCGAAGCTGAGCACCAGCGACGACAGCGGCGAGCCCTTGGACTTGGC